GGGGGGTGGGCAGGGAAATGCTAGACTTGAGACTGGGGAGGTAAACCCATTGGTTTTACAGTGTTGCGTTCACTGAGTTGTTTCAGATCACAAATGAATCCTCTTCATGTGACAGACCCGCTGCATAAAATACCAAGAATGGTACAGCCTGCATGTCTTTGGCAAGCAGATCATCTCCTGTGATTCATTCAGCATCCTTTCTCTGCTCTGCCTGTTGATGAGCTCTCAAATGTGTACTCGAAAGGCAGGGCTAAAGCTGGATCTGGTTTTAAAGAATGAGCCACAAGTAGAGTTTTGTGCTGGATAAAAAAGAAAAAGTGATCCTGATTGTCCAAAGCTGCTGACGCAGATTTCCAGAGCAATTGCTTCTGGGCTGAACTGGATGTTTTTACTGGCTATTTAGAAACAGCCTTAAGAGACTTCCCTCTCTTAATTGCAGTCATACGTTAACTGTGAGACACTGAGAGTGTCACTGGCAACTTCCCAGAAATCCTGTGGCTGATTCTAATTTGCATAAACTTTTCTGTATACTGGCAGAGAGAAATCGGTCCAGCTGAAGTATTTTCTTGTCTTTATATCTCTTCCCTTATCTCCTTCCAGCCCACTTTTTCTGGGCTTGGGAAATACGACGGCGTGTTTGCGCAGGAAGAAGCAGATTTGGGACGATCTGTTCCATAGCGTTGTACTCCACTGGGTTTACTACGCCAAAGAGCGCTCCGTGAATGGAGATACGTCCTCATCACTGGGGATTCAGCAGTCATTCCCCTCTGAAAGTGGGATTTTGGTGCAGTCATGAGGTTGTGCAGAGACCCCATCACTGTTCCAGAGAATCGTTACCCCATTTCCTCTTCTGTTCTCCTAATTAGTTTGCACTTCAGTACAGCACATACCACAGCCTTCCTCCCATCTTGCACACTGGCGCACACACTGCACTGATGTTATGTGGTTTACAAAGACACAAACTGAAAAATTCGGCAATATCAGATTTACATTTGCACATGCAACCTGAGATCTGCCCACTCACACATCTGTGCACTGAGTGACACAGGGGTGCCAGTGAAATGCATGATCCTAACTCTTTCACATACTAGGACAGGATTTGCAGGAAAAGGCCCTGTCTAAATTTTAAGGGCTGGAATTTGCAAACAATTATATTTTTAACATATTTTTTAATAGATAATTCTGTACTTTACAAAGAAGAAAGGTATAAACAGAATTTTTGCTAGCATTCCAGAATGTTTTTTGATACAAACTTATTGTTGTTTTAATTATGTTAATTGCCAGAAAGATAATGTGCTGTAGATGGGAGAGCCAGGACTCTGTCTCCAGGTGCTAAATGAGGAGATCAGTGAGTTGAGGCAGGAGAGGCTGGCAGAACTGTGGTTCCCCCCCATCTTTTCTGGATCTTTGAGCTCCTGCCTTACTTAAGAATAATGGCGAGACACCAGAATTGTCCAAATTTTGAGGTAAGTGCTTTTGTGCTACTGTAGCTGCCTGTGCTCATGAGGTATACAATGACAGCATGCTAGTTTCTAATCAGATAGAGTTCAGCAGTGCAAAGCATGCATGCAGGTCAGGTATGACTCAAACAAATCAGAGTGGATGGAGAGAAGGTACTTTTGTACTGGAGGTAGAAAGGTAGAAGGGCAGTATTTCTTCCATCCAAAGTGAATATATAGAAACCTCATGAAAAACTGACATTAAACATATGTGGCCTTTTGGAAAGTGTCTGTGTGCAAATGCATCCACAACATCTAGAGTGATAAAAATCATCTACTGAGCTGAGTCGAATGGCATAGTTGAAGTGGAGCTGTAAATAAAGTGGTAGGCGGTTTCCTGCTAAAACTCCCCTGCATGTCCAAGAACCCACTGTGACTCAGCCGTTGCAGTCACTGGGAACTCAGCGCAGACACCCTTTTCTAGTTGGGCCTTTTTACTTCTCTTTTTGCACCATATCAAGAGGGACTCCATTCATCCCTGGAGGAACTGAATTGACAATACGACCCATTATTTTTTGTTGTCTTAAAGTAATGATCTAACGGTAGACCAGCAAGACTGTTGGGACTTCTTGTTAAACTGTCTGATTATCAAGGACTCATGCCTGCAAAACTGTCTGCTTGGATCTTTGTTAGATCTTCGCGTGAAAGTTCTTGGAACATACATTAACATACTTTAACTGGGCTTGCTCTTACCGTCTCTTGATGGCCTAAAAATGGAATTTTCGTTGCTTTCATTTCATGTGCAATAAGACTCAAGAATGACTGTGGGGTTTTTTATTTTAAAGATTCTGTGTGTAAATATGCTGAATGGAAGTGAGACAATTACATTTTTGCTTACAATACATTTTCTAATGTACCTACTGTTCCTTCAAAAAATTAGCATCTTTGGAAAGATGAACTGAGCTGAAAGAAGCTATGCCCTTGTTAAAACAACAGCAGTAGCAATGTCTAGTAGTTTTTAGGTCAGCAACATCTAGAGTCTCACTTGCCCTAGAATATTTTATGTTTGAAGCTGTCAGATGTCATCTTACTCCTCTGGGCTCTTAGGTACATCCTTTGTCATTGAGATAATGCTTTCCCTGGTCCATTTTGAACCTGCACAAATAGTTGCCTCTCTGTGTGAAAAGTTCTGTACCCACAAGGCTTTAGATTTGGCATTGGCAATTAATAAAGCAGGTTTGGGAGATTTGTAGGTTCCCATGAGTATGAGCTCCCTTGGTTCTAGTCCCAGCTAATTCCTTATTGGCTTCTTCCATAATACTGATGGAAGTTTCTCCCCATCTGACCTTTCTCTGTGTGGACAAATCCCAATGTCCCAGGTTTAAAATTTACTCCACTCTCCTTTTTACTTTCCAGCCTGATGTTTTCTAATTGCTTCCTGTAATTTTTGTTGAATAGCTCTTTTAGTTTCAAGATGCTGTCTTTTGCTTTCTTTCTCTCTCTGATATTAAGTATACTTTGTACAGTTTTTTTTCTGAGAATTAAGTCTACCTTCTCCTCCAGAGTTTTCAGTTTAGCATCTGAAGGTTATCTGTGGTTCCTTGTTAGTGAACTTCCTTTCTGGGAAGTTCAGCCTCCTTGTATTTTGACTCAGGTCATTAACATCAAAATAGATTCTTTTTTTCTTGCAAATTCCCATAACTGCCCACCTTTCTTCTCTTTTCCTTGGTCCTCTCCATTACCACACACAGAAGTGCTATGCGGTGCATTGTTTTATGAAAGCTGACACCTAGTTGCTTTCCCTCAGACAAGTCCTCTTTTGCTGCTCCTACAGCTGTGAAGGGTTTAGTACATTTTGAAATCCTCCCATCTGAAAAGCAGGAGTCAGGGTTTTCACAAAGTGCACCAGAGGAGGGGATACTCAAGGAGCTGGTGCCAGGAAGTTGCTCAGATTGTTGCAGAGGCTGAGGGGTGGCTGGCACTGGGGGACCTGATACTAGAGAGCAGGCCAAAAGGCAGGGGCAGTGCTGGAAGTGCCCAAGGGTTATGAGAAAGCAGCTCTGGGGTGATTCCAGGCAGGCAAAAAAGGAAGGTCCAGGAAGGATGTGTAGCGCAGGGTTGTTGGGTCAGGGCGGGGATGCTCTGGTGTGGAAGGCTGGATGTCTTTATTTTGTGAGAAGAAAGGCAGCTCTATAGAGAAGGGAGAGGTTTTGAAATGGGTTTGGAGAAGTGGGGTAAAGGCTGTGGCAGACACTGGGTCCAAAGGCTGGGGGAACTGAGCGCAATGGGTGAAAATGTTGCAGATGTGGTATGGATGAGGGGACTCAAAGGCAGGAGGGGCCAGGGATCACCATCTAGCAGAACTGGTGCCATTAACTGGGATCCCCCTAGTTTGGGGACTGAGGACACACAATGACCTGCCGCATCCCCCTCCCTCCTGATGGACTGCTTGTAACCCTCACAGCCCATCTTTTTCTTCTATCAGAAATATGGTGGTATATAGTATGTCAGTACATAGTACGTCCACTTCCAAATAGAAGGTTTAACAGACAATCTGATATCCACACCAAATGATAATTTTATTTCACCAGACAACCAGAATTCTCCTCCTCCTCCTCCCCCACCAGACAACCAGAATTCTCCTCCTCCTCCTCCCCCACGTACTCTTTTTTGAAGTGTATTGGTCTTAAGGAAAATTGCTGGGCTATGTGGATGGTGACTCTTGTACCCCACAAACACAGAGTGGCTGCTGAGATCCTGCCTTCTGAGAAGAGCTCACCAGAATGACCAGTGAGGCCAGTGAGTAGGCAGAGCCCAGGCTGCTGCAGAGTGCTGCACCCATCAGCATGCCTGCAAGGTGGCTGCTGCTGCACATATGACAGGACAGCCCATGCTCATGTCGGTGAGGGAAAGTGTTGGGCCCTTATTGGTCATGGTGAGTCATTTGCAACTTCTGCCACATTTAGCATGAATTTCATTTTAAGTTACTCTACTGCATCCTTATTTTCAATATTTCCTTCACAAGAAGCTGGAGCCACAGAGGTGAAAATAATTACATCTACCAGAACCTGTCATGAAAATTGGCAGCTAGTTCTCACTAGAAATAAAAGAATCAGATTTTGAACAGCACTGAACAGTGCCACTCAAGTATTCACACGTGGAATAAAACTCTAATCATCTGAAGTAATAAAGTGAATGTAGTTCACAGGTATTCAAATGCCTGCACTTTTTTCTGTATGAGTGGAAATTGAGCAAGGAAACAGTATTTGGGGGACAAATCCAATTAGATGTGAAAAAGAGGAATTTACCAGAAGAGTAGCCAGCCTGGTTTAGTTTCAAGAGAAATTTGTGTCATCCTTTTGTCTTGACGTAACACTGTGTGCAACTTAATGCTAAGCATTAGCTTTAAACATGCTTTTGTACACCACCACCTTGGATTATATCCCCATTTTGGTCTCTCCCGTATTGTGAGGTTTCCAGTGGCTCTTGTGGCCATCCAAATTTATGTCTACTGTTTGAAACTGCAGAGTGTCCTCAAATAATTAGATAACCGTGCTGTAAACTCCTGGACCACTCAGATGACATGCCCTGCCTTCAAATACACAGCTTTGTAGTGGCTTGGAAAACTTCCCACCAGGAGTTTACCTCAATGTCTTCCCTGGTTTTTTCTTGTACATGTATTGAAGTAGTTTACAGGGACAGGTTTAATAGGAACTCAACTTTTCAAAGGAATTAGGAGCAAAAACTTCTTTACTTGCACACTGTGCCTGTCAGGTATAACTGCAAGGGCTTTCTGCTAAAATAAAAAAGCCAAACTGAGAAGTAAGGGAAACACAGATAGGCAGAACAACACTCAATTTGAATTGTGTCTGTTTATATTTGAATCTTTTGTTTGTAGGAAGTTCTGGTTTCGTCTATAATACTATGCAAATTCCTATAAAAGTCAGTTTAATTTTAGTATTACTCAATTTCCAAAGAAATCATTTGGGTTTGTGTTTAGAAAACTTACTGCCAAGCCCCCTCTGCTGGATGGAAAAATCATGTTTTCATCCCTGCATGCTGAAGACATCTAGTAAAAGCATTCCAGCTTGTTACTCTTCAAGTAATTATAGGCTCAGAGTTCACAAGATCATTACTATCTTTCTATTGTTATCTATCATCATCAGTTACCAGTTGAGCTTTAGAGAAGAGTCAGGATGATTGTTGCAAGTGTGTTCAAATCCCTCCATTTGATTTAGTATTCAGTCTGTTGAAAATTCATTCTGTCATGTGATTATTTTATCATCCAAGTTACTTTCAGTAATGTCCACCTCTTCACCCCCCACTATATCCCATATGTATTATTTACATCTTCTGTTAGTGATTTCATTGCACACAGTTAGAGTGTACTTGCATAATATGTCTATACAGGAAATAATAAAAATCTGAATCCAAGAAGCACACATGCTTTTCCAGGGCAATTCAAACTGCAAAGACCTGGTTTGCTTGTCTTTAAAGTGTGACAAGGGACATTCGCTAGGCGGCAGGCAATGCTATGTGCTGTTTAAACCATGCTTGTAATTTGTGTATGACAAAGCCTTTTGCAGGGACCACCTTTATATTTACAGATTGGGAAACAGGCTTGGCAAGGAAAGACAATCCATTAGCTTGAGCACTAAATTAGGACATGGATTTAAGTCCTGCTCTGAAACAGACTGCCTGGTGACCTTGCGCTAATGAATTAGGCTAAAAGCCAAAAAAGAAGTGTGCCACAACATTGAGCAGTGCCCAACAAAATTTTGAAGTTTCTGATACACAAAGTGTTGGACTCTTTTATGGTCCTCTGTGGTGCACATTGAGAGCTGAGTTTCTTTGAAAGGAGATCCAAAGCAGCCAGTATGCCATGCAAGCAGCCAGTAAGGAGCTATTGCCTACAGAGGTGTGTCTGAAGCTTTTCCCCATCTTGAGCTTCTTCAAAAAATGGTCTTTGAAGAATGGCAGTCTTTAAAAATGGAGCAAGCCAAAAGAGCGTTACTGGGGCAGCTGATTAGTGCTTAGAAGACCTTCAGTATGCTTCAGTATGTGGAAAAGTGAGATTTGTGTCCCTACTCGGCAAGAGGGCAGTCAAACTTTGGTTCCTCCCTTTTCTGGAAGGTGTCCTAACTCCTAAGTTAGAGGTCTTTTCTTATTGAAAGGGAAGGAGGAGTATTTGTTAGCCAAGAGAGACTTGGAGCTTAACAGCTAGAACACGCACCTATGAGTGCGAATCACTGGATTCTGGTGCCTCCTCTGAGTGCTGTGACATATTGTACATTAAGTAGTTACTAGATAAGCTACATAAGTGATATTTGAAGCTGAGCCAGAATTCAGTGGATGCCTTTCTGTGAACTAAAGCAAGTTCAGGGAAGACCAGAGAATGTTTCCTTCTGTAGGCTTGTGGTGAGGTCATAATTTCAAAATGAGCTTGACAAAGCACATGCTTGAGTCCCTCCTTGTCAGGAAGGTATTTGAGCCCAAATTTCCCACATTTAACCCTGAAATGGCCGCATTCCCACAAATGATCTCACTGGCAAACTGTTGGATAAAACTGATGAGGTTGAAAAGATGATGATCTCTAATGAGGTCTCCGAAGGCATGAGAACTATTTCAAAGCTCTATTATTTTATTCAGTTTGAAAAAATAGTGACAATTGTACCATAAAAATCAAACTGTAACAAAACTGAGGGAGGGAAAAACATATTGAATTGGTGTTTCATGTTAAAAAAATACTTTTTTATATAACTGTATTTCACATGAAAATGTGAACTAATTAAAGTTTCCTAGAATATTCTGTAAATACAGCATGTATCCTGGTGAGGTTAAATGAGTATTCAGTCTTAGCGGTATTAGCCAATACATGTTAAAATTAACAACAGGACCAGAAAGAAGTCTTAAATACCCCTGAGTTCTAGGGAAGTTAGAAAACTGAGCCCATGTTTGGAATTTATGCCCAACCTCTTCACTCACAAGGCAGAGGGTTAAATACAAGTAGCCTAAGTTTTTGTGTATGCAACATTTTGTGACTATGCAACATTTCCTGTCTGCTGAAATGCAGCTGCATTGCCTCCGTAAGTCAGCTGTTGCTTTATAGTTGCAGTGCAATAAAGAGTTCCCTTTCCTTCTGAATAACAAGGTTTTATTGCAGGGTCTGTGCACATTGCAGGAAGAAGAGAGAAAGAAGAAAAAAAAAGGAAGCAGGAAGTACTTCAGTCCCAAGCAGTGGGTAATCAGAGACAGTTCTGCAACTGGGGGAGCAGTCCTTCCTCCTGAGGCATTTGGCCAAGCGTAGATAAACCTGAGTTTTCTAGGTCTGTAATCTAGATACCTCATCCTACCTTCACAGGAATCTTTGTGCTTCTATGATCAGAGCTAACCTGCTTCCACAGAGGCCAAACAGTGGCCAACCAAGCTGGGAACAGGAGGCAGAAGCTCCCTCCTACCTGAGTGGGATGGAGGACCAGGGCTGACTCAAGATACCACTAGCCACTTTCCAGAGGCCTTTTCATGCAGAGCCAGTTAATTTCTTACCTTCTGAAATGCATAGTCTGCCCATTTATACAGAGCTACAACACAAAGATACAACTTTAGAGCTATTAAGTTGAGGTGCTGTATATTCAGACATTTACAGATAATAGAAAAGTGTGAGTGAAAAATGGAGAAATGAAAGCCGTGATGGAAACTTGTTCTTCAGTATGTGCCTGCACAAGAAATGGCTACCAAGAAAGATAAAGCATTGCTCCTAAAGCATCTCTCTATAACTTTACTGATGAAACAACAAAGGAACAGTATGCCTTTCCTACTTATGTACCAGGAATTTAATGGGGCTTAGATTACAGACCATAAACCATAGTTGGAGAGCATTGCAAAACATGCAAAAACCGCTTTGAACTCAAGAACAGAAACTTAAACTTTCCCAATAGTTTAGGAGTAAGAACTTCACGGCACTGTTTCTTTTATTATTTTACAAAGACTCTACAAATGTTATCAGTTTGCAACACTCCACAGTTGTGTGACGAAGATTGTAGAAGTACTGGTGGAAGGAGCTCTATTGTTTTACAGCTGGGAAATGCAGCCTTTAGTAGGAAATGCATCTATCTATTTTACAGACCAGAGGGTGAATGAAAAAGATTCTCTAATTACTTTCAGTTCTGTTTCCTTTGGCTGGAATGTCTGTTTTCCCCAGCCAGTCATGTGTCCAGCCAGAATCCAGGGTAGTACAATGACATTTATAAGAAACAGAAGGGAAAGCAGCCACAAGAAAAAGGAGCATTCACTGAATACTGCCAGCTTTGAGTAAAATGTGGCACTACTTAAATGAACGCTCCTGTGACTGTGAACTTCAGAGATTTTCTTAATAAGGACTGTTCTTCCCAGCCTTGATTTTGCAAGTCACTTACGACCATTGCTCAGGCTGGTACCAAAGAAGGTTTAAAGTATGTAGCATGTTTCAGAAGGCACTGTGTACCTTTCAGAACAGGGCCCACATCAGAAGAATCAGCAGATTGATACTGAGCAGTGCTGGTTTTATATATAGGTAGCATATGCTGTAATTTAACTGGGCCAGCCAAAGTATTTTATGAACTCTATCCACATTATATATGCTGAATCTAACCTATATACATGAATGCTTAATTTTACTGGGCAGGGTGGAACAGTGGAACTGGGGAGCGATTGGTGCCAGCCCAGTTGCATTTGAAAAATGTCTGCCCTAAGCTATTAATTCCTTTATCAATATGGTTAACCATTGTTAACCAGCCTGGATGGAGGAAAAAAAAGGGGCCTGGAGAATATTTTTGCCATCACACATGTGTTCGCCCAAGTTTTTGATTTGGCAGAAATTAGTGTAAAAGGGGTTGCATCAAATGACAGTGTGAACACCATACTGACTCTGCTTCAGCCTCCTTAGCTCCACTGGTGAGCGCTGGTGGCTCTTGTGGTCTGGAGTGGACTGAAACACCACTGAGTTCCCAGCAAAGGAAGAGCCATAGGTACCAGAATGCAAATAAATCAGTGGTCTCTGTCAAATAGTAGGTTCAACCATTCAATTCTCCCTCTGCCTTAAAAATCTATGAAAACAATGAAAATGAAAATACCTAACCCACATCTGTTAGGATTGTTTGTTAGTAATCATACTGTTATCTTTTAAAAGAATCAGGATAATGTATAGTCAGACTAGAGAGATCTGTAGATAAAGAAAAAGAAACTACTTTGTGCCTTTCACTTTCACCCTGCACAGTTTCTCGTAAATGAAGCTGTAACCGGCAACTGAGCCCAAGTCGTCTGACAAGCTTTGCCTTGCAAATCCGAGCTTGTGTGCTGTCCTTTTCCTTTCTAAAGTGTCTATTGCCTGGAATTCATCCTGTTCAAATTGTAGCAGAGCTACAGATCTTCAAATGCTCCTGGATGCTCAGAACGTCAGAACCCCAAAGGTGCAAGCAAAAAACATGCACACATTGTTATGCTTGCTCTGCACAGCCACTTCATCTATGTGACATTTGCATGAATCTTAGACACCATCTACACTGAACTGATGTCTCCTAGTTGGCTCTTAAAGTATTGATAGTTTCTATTTTGAATAAACAAGCACTGTTGGCTTTTGCAATAGAGTCAGAGCAAGGTTTTGTGGGCTCGTCAGGTTTTGAAAATAAGGCGTACTGGATTTCCATTTATCATTTATTGCTGCTTTTCATGACAAGCTGAAAGATTGCTAAGTTTTTGGCTTCAATATTTTTGAATCTCTGAAGAGTTGCTTTTTGGTTGTATTTGAATTTTAAGTCCAAGTTTTGTTGTTTAGTTTGGAGGGCTGCCCTATATAGAGCTACATTTAGAAACAGCCATTGTGTTGCCCTACTATGTATATTTTAGCCATCTGCAAAAAGTCATATATATATTTTTAATATCAATCGTTAATAATTATTTAAATTTATTCAGATAAATGTTTGTATAGTTGCCTCACCGCAGTCTTCATCACAGCCATTAGTTCAGTAGAAAGGTCAGGTTACCCGTACGTAAATAGTGATTTTAGTATTTGCCCTTGAAGTGGGTCCTTTTCTCAATTTCTTTGTATTTTCCTCTGGTTCATTTTGTTTTCTTGTTTAGTTCATAATATGAAGTCTATAGTCTCACTGGAATGAGCTGATGAAAATCTTTTAGCACCAGTAGATATATTTACCTTAATAGAAACTGAGTACTGTGAGGTACCTATGGGTCAGTTGTCAGCAATGGTTGTTCAGGACTTCAAATGCTGGCAATAAAAGTCTGACCTTCATTCCATCAAATTCATATTTGACCCTGCCTACTCTGGGCTTAGTGGAAAGAGATGGGTCTTAATTAGAGAGTTTCGATAGTGTTTAATATAAGGTGCTGTACAGCCTACAAACTAGAACCTGTGATTAAAATCACTTAAATCAAGAGGTGGAGACAGTTTGTGACTTTTTAATGTCAAATTATATTTTAAAATATGACATTTCCATATGAGTCGTAGAGGTCTTTCTAAGCTGAGCTGATGAGATGTCTCACAGTTGGCTCATGCAATCTTGTGTCTCTTGATTTTTTAATAAAGAAGCCTAAGAATGTGAAAACACATTTCAGCAATTGAATGTCCCAATTTAGGAAGAATTCTGTGACTTTACTTAACATTTTATATCTTCTCTTAGACCTACTAAGTGACTTTAATCCAAAATTAACCCTATTGTACATGCCGACATTCATTCACTCATGCAGATAGTTGGGGTAGCAAGCTGCTATTTGTAAATGGTGTGGCAATAAATGCATTCTAACTCTGGGCTTGTAACTATTTCCATTTTTGAACCTTGCTTTATAAAATGCACGCTATAATGTAAGAAATTGAGAAATCAAGCTTATTTAGGCCCCAGTCCATCTAAGTACATAAAAACACATAAGCACTATTATTGAGCAGCTTTAAATGAAAGTTTCACTGCTGTCGATTTCCTCTGTATGTTATTTTTGCTTTTTCAGTCACTCAGCTGTTTGTTCTGAATTCATGCTCTGCTTTCCCCCTGCAGAGAAGCACAAGGCCAGCTGTTCCTTCAGCTATGATTTTAGCTTTTGCTTTCTGAAGTACCAATACCAGTCAGTGCCTTCCCACTCAGCACTTGGCATCATTCTTCCCATTCAAGGCCATTTCTGCTCTTCATCCCCCTGCCAGCACCCGGTGAGTCAGGAGACCAGTTGCTCACAAGCAGTTTCCAAAGAGGATGCCAGTGCTGCTAGAGCTCTGCGTCCAGTGCAGGATCCTTTTTGTCTAGCATCCCTGGGCAATCACATGGGCAAAGCTGTAGTCACAGCTTCATAGAAAATAAATGCGGCCACTTTACATGGAGATTCTTTGATCTCAGAGCAAAATTTGGTTAGTTAAGGACAGTCACCACATCTGTGTTTTAGGTGATACTCTGTGGGAATGCAAGTAAAAAACATTGGCTAAAGCATAGGGAATAGTGAGTAATACTCACTTTCCACACAAATTTTAAGTGACTAGAAAACAGCTGACTGGTCTGCTTGGCTGTGTGACCTGCAGCTGCCACCAAACCTGAAGACCTGTCTCCTGAAGACCCTGCAAAGTACTCCCTCACACAGCAAGAGAGAGGTGGGCTTTCTCCTCTCTGGCTGCCTGTGAACTCTTGGAGGCTCATCTCAAACTTTCCTCTTCAAGTAGCTTGATGTTAATCTTAAACTTCCAAAAGTTTTTTCCTGAATGAATGCAGGTGTGTGCTGTGTGAGATTGGTATAAAATTCCTGAGTTGTTACATTAAAATTCTGAACTCCTTTTAATCCTGTTCTAACATTTTATTAATTTCAAATTACCTTGATTGGTGGTGGTGTAGCAGTGATGTTTTCAGTTTAAACAAGATAAGGCTCGTAGGAAGAGATGGTTTCTTTGATTGGACCTGAGAAAGCTCTTGCCTGCTTGAAGATTTGACTATTAGTAAAAGCCTCTCCCTACTAAGCACCAGAAATTTATTTCATGAATCTTTGAACAGGCCTTGAATATTGTAGAACCCTGACAATGTATGCTCTGGAACAGCTGTAACTTCTTAGCCTCTATGGATATTTCTAATATTTGATATCTCAGTTTTTAAGTTTTTGAAAATAAAATGCCACTCTGGTTGCTTTTCTTTAGGAAAATTATTCTGCTCTCACTCCACTGGATGAACGGGATGCTGACAATGCCAATCAGTATACTTATGCAAAACCAGCAGCTGTCAAGGGAGGACACCAGGGTCTGCACTCCCCTACACTGGTTATAGGGGCTCTCCAGTCCCGTTAAGCTTCTCCTAAACATCCAATTCTTTTATGAAGTGAAATGAAGTCAGAAAGGCTGCACGACTGAAGTCTCCTGGCTCTTGGCTTCACTTCAGTCAGGATGAAGATCTAACACTTTGGATGCCATTCATATTTCCTGTTTAAAGAGTTCCTTTTTTCTTGGTGCAGGAGTTTGAATAAGCTCATCTGGAATCCAGCTTTGCAGACTATTTCCAGAGCAGCAAGCCATACTGGTAAAGACTATGATTAATTCTTTTCTTTTTTTTTCTTTCACCATGTCATAGTCCTATTCCATAGAATGCTGATTTATTTCAGTTGCATACCAGCGTATTTATAGCATGGAAAGGAATAAACGGATGACACCCACTTCTGCAGAATGCTACTGGAGCTCTCTAAGCATTTCCTCTAATATTCTTTGTAAATGAAATGAGTCAGCTGAGCTGGAGAGCATTGCACTGTTTTCATAGCCCGTAGGCTGCCATCAATAGAGATGTGTGGTGAGTGGCAGGAACTTGTTAAGTTTGCGTGACGGTGAGAGCAATGAAATAATTTCTCATGTTAAGGCTGGCTGTACAAGCTAAGGTTTCCACCCTCTCTGAGGAGGTGCCGGAGCCAGAAGCTGGTTTTCCTCTGCCACACACTGGGTGCAGCTGTCAGCTCCTGGCAGACACAGGAGGACTCTTGCTGTAACCCTCTACTGATTCTACTAAGCATATACTAACATGCAATGTACAGCATCTGTACTGGGTTCTCAAGACAAAAAGAGCACAAGAGGGTGCCTTGCTAATGCTTTACTTGATAGTATTTGCCACAAAAGTTAGTTCATCTTATCTTAGAGTGACGCCCATGCAGTTTTGACAACACTATGGGAGAGGCCAGACTCTCGTTAGTATTCATATTATGATGTCTGTCACTCACATTTACCTGCCAAGTCACTTCTAAAATGTTACTTATTCAGAGCTACCTGCTAACTAAAATTTTGGCAAGTTGCACCTGGAGTTTTCCTGTTTCAGCAGATGACTTGCCTGGTTCCAGGTCTTTTGAAATTGCTGGTTGAACATAACTTAGCATCCATATGCCAGACTGATCAGTCCCAAAGCATAAACTACAAGCAGCAGAAGTTCAAGTTAGGGATGCAAATATGACTGACTTTCAACCCATTAATTCCAACCCATTGAGCCATTAATGTCAAATAATTAATTACATTAAGTGATGACAAGGTAGCTTAAAAAAAAACCCTGAAGGATGTGGATGTTTCTCCAGACTTCATCCTGCATGTCAGCATGTCCACACTGCATCTTTTATGCAGTACAGAACAAACATCAGGAAAAAATTGAATTTTATATTCTTGTGATTGTTTCATATAGTTCTGTGTGCAGTATAAGTTAATAAGCATAAATGGAAGGCAGTTTGTCTCAGATCCCTCTTCTCACTTACGGAGTAACACATTTTTTCAAAATACTGTTTTCTTATATTGCTTCTGTTATGCTTCATTCCTGTATGCTGCTTCCTTTCACTGAAGGAGGATATAAAAGACACAGTTGTATCACCTTGCAGTTCACTCTCTGATTGTGGGCAGCCAGTGTCTGCAAGAGATGCTAACTCAGAGCAGCACCCGTCAGCAGGCTGCAGTACAGAGCAGATGGGGAGCTGCCATGGGCCTGTCCCCATCACACTCAAATCCTCTGAGATTCTGGGCTGCCGCAGACAAGTTTTTCTACAGTGTCTGTTTTATGGACATTTGTGGGCCATTCTGACGTTACCATTATGATCCGTGTGTTTATCAGCTCCATGCTTCATGACTTCTCTTCCATTCACCTGTGGAGCTTCAAGGTAGCCCTATTTTGAAAACAAATATTTTAAAAAAATTAAAATGTATATGCAAAAAATAATCTTGATTACTTGAATTCAAAATTTAAAAACAAAAAATTAAACCAGAACTTTTTTGAAGTCTAGTTAGTGAATTCTCAGTACTAGGAAAGAGAAACTGACAAATAAAACTGAAGAAACTTTTCTGTATGCATTAACTAATGGACTGGGACAGAGATCTTTTTTAAAACTCTTTTGGGTAGGATGAAAGACTGTAAAATACCAGAATTTCTGGCCAAGCCAAAGAAGGATTTTTCCAATTGTGTAATACCATCCTTTTACCCAAGTTAGAGAGGGGAGCAGAGAATTGCTTCCATTTTAAGTAGTAATGCCAGTGAGAGTGTGAAAACATATGAGCTGGACAGAAAATTCTAAGTTGCTGCTTCTTTGGAAATCTCTTTTTATGGAGATCTAGGGTTAAATTCTTTTTTCAGTTCTCTTGACGCTATACTAACAGAACAGTGCCAGAGTAATTGAGGGAGACCTGGCTCCTGCTACGCTCTGGGCTCTTATCTATGTGTAGTCTGACCTTTTTTTACTCATACTGTGACAGCATCTCATGTGCATGCCAGCGTGAGGAATAACGTCCTTGAAGACTGCTTTGAAGAAAGGCACATACTGTAGTAGCAGGCAGAAGAAGATTGATTTCTTCTTTTTAATCCATGCAAACCAAAACTGTGTCATCCAGCATGCTCTCAGAAAATTTAACCCAATGTGATTTACAGCCTGTCAGCCACCAACTCATTGCCTTTTCCAACGGTGTGCTGAGCTTCCTCTGCTACCCTTAAATCAGAGGATGTGAGATAATCTGCAGAAAGCAGTCTGTGGAGGCATCAGACGTTTTTCCTGCATCTGCAGAATGTGTCTCCTTGCTGGGCTGAGCCAGTTCTTTGATAAGACCTTTGCAGATAGTTTACTGAAAGATAAGGGTTTTCTAGTTTAAGAAAACAAATCCATCTGTTGGTGCAGATCACCAGTGCTGCGGCCCTTCTTCTCATAAAACAGTCTCTTCAAGGAAAATCTTTTAAAAGGGACCTTTTAGTCTTCTGCAGATTACTCTTGTAGGGGTCTTGCCTTCATCTGCGGATTTAATGGCTTAATAAGCATTAGACCCTCCTGTTACACAGTAACAAATAGGAATACAATACTTTTATCAATATTTGGCACAATTACTTTTTTTATGTGAAACTAAATATTGATGCTGTCAAGTGACTGCAACTTAGGGGCATAATTTACAAATATTCTTCTCCTGTAAGCCTTGCTCAAATTTTGCATTCATGTACAGTAACCATCTAATGTCTTTCTATTCCTGTAAGCCATCTGATTTGATTGCCAGATTACACAGTTTTGCATTGTGCTTAGATGTGTTTTTATTGTTATTACCAATATTACCTTTTATTCTTACTGTAAATGCTAACAAAGTTAACTGCTTCCTTACACTCTAAAAGGAATAAAGTCCCATTTACAGAATGTCTCTAAACAGAAAACATATCTGGAAAAAAAGATGTGCTGAATAAATAATTCATAACATGATAGGTGAGTAGGAAAAAAGGTCTTTTGATGTATTTTGCTGCTCAAAACAAAACTGGATTTTTTTAAATGAAGTAAATGAAAAAATGGAGAACAAAATCTGCTTTAAAGACGACTGACTGCAGAGGAATCAGTTCTCTATGTAAATATTTTTACCCGTTTTGCACTTTTGTAGGGAACACAGAACTTGCAAAACTGAAGAATCTATCCCTTTGGTTTCCTGATTATTTTCTTTTTTTTTTTTTTTTCTTTCTTCCATTCTCTTGGTTTTCTGTTAGCTTATTTCTTGGCTTATTTTCTAGTTGAAATGTCAACCCACCCAAAGGAAACCACAACATATCAAGGATTTCAGATTGCAGCAAAGCAAATTAGCCTGTTTGTAATATAAACAGAAAGCAAGTAAATTCTTAAAGGCCTTGGAATTACCAAATCTCCCAGTTTAAAGCTGCCTGTACTTTCAGTGCATTATGCTCCAGATTTCCGTGGAAGTGTATACAATAAAAAGATCTCCTGAAAGCATCTCTGAGAAAATCAGCGTGGGCATTTTCTTTTTTCTCACAAAACCAGAGGGCCTTCATCAACTAAACAGTAAACCTTAAACGATCATTTCTTGTTAAGTAGTGAAAAAGTACCTTGGAAAAATATCTGGGATGGCTCCAACAGCCTGGGAGGGGGTGTGGGCAAGTCTTGCACTGGGGTAACCCTGGGGTGAGGGCAAAGAGCAGAAACCAGTCTGCAGGGTGACTTCACTCAGATAAAATTTGAGCACAGCAAAAAGTACTTTCTGCTCAAACCGAACCACTGAATCAGATTTTACACTAGTTTTTGCACGTAGAAGAGTCAATCCTGAATTGAATTCAGGTGAAATGAGAACCAGCTGCTCTAAAACTCTGCAGATACTCTTCATAAATGATCACCGGTGGAAGGGGGGGGGGGGCGCTGGCCTAGAGCTGCTTGGTGAATTGCACTTTTTTTCAGAAAGTCACAAATTACAGCCACCGGAGCAGCTGAGCATGGGTGGCTTGTTGGGAGCAGGCAAACCCCCTGGGAGTAATGTCTCGTTTGCAGTTGGCATCAAAAGTAGCACACCTGTGCCAAGTACTTCATTGTCCATATGAGCCATTTTTCTTTTTAACGCAGAAAACTCGGCAGCAGGTGTGCCGGTTGCGTGAGGCGGCGTGTCCGTGTCTGGAGAACGGGGCGTTTGCGCTCCCTCACCAGGTGAGTGGGTTA